TTAAAATTAGGTTATTGGGAACCGTTATATCAAAAATCTTTTATTTCAGTAATGCGAGAATTAAAATCTCCCAAAAGGAGAATTAATGATGTAATATGTTGCCCGAGTTTAAGTGATTTAAACACTTCTTTTAGTATGTCTATCCTATCTAGTGGAATGTAAGCAACAGCCACAATCATTAGTTCATTTCTTAAATTAGTAAATTTAGGTTTAGTCATTTTGATTAATAACATTATAAGATTATCAGTCTTTTTTATTTGAAGAATTGTAAATAAATTCTTTTTTAATAATAAACATATTCCTTCACTAGGTCAGCCTGGCCCAGTTGGTGTTCTATCAGGTATATTTCTATTAAGTAATCTTTGAATGTATTTAATTTATAAAACTGTTTGTAGGTAACTCATGTTTCTGTTATTCCAATGATATCTGCTTCAAGTTTAAGCTGAAATAGGTCATTGATGAAATTTTGTTCTTTAATACTTGGCAATTCCAATTTATCACTGTTCACATTTGATTATTCATGGTATTTATTGTAGGACTGATTCTTTGCAATTTATTGGACTTTAAGTTGTAAAATTCTATATTGACAAGATTGATAAAAAATTTTCTACATTCACTAATTGTTTTGTTTTTATGCAGTATGTTATCTTATCTTGTTCTAATATCAAAATATCATTACAAAATTTAACCTGATGATTTTGCTTTTTCATTTCAATATAGAAGGGAAGATTATTTTGTCTTGTACTAGAACTGTTTGTGAGATCTGCTAAGATTTACATATTTTGCCATTCACCAAGTAATTTTTCTTGTTTTCATTTAATGAAAGAAGTGAAGAAAAGATTGTGAATTTGGTTATTCCATAACAACAGTTTTATGATAGTTTTTGTATTAGTTAGTTGAGTTATGTCTAAGATATGTTTAAAAGTTCGGAGTCTAGATTCAGAGTATGCTTCATAAAATTCCATATTTCTTGTTTGAAAATATTTTTGAACTAGGAAATTTATATAAGATTACATTATTTTGATTAAAATTATTAATTAGAGAATCCATTTTAAAGTGCATAAGTTCCTTTTCCATTTTTAACTTTGTAATTTGTAATTCCATGTTTTGTATTTTTCTTTTGTTTTATGAAATTGATTTTTAAATTCTCGAATAATTTCTTGTATTGAGTCTAAGTCTGTTTTTATAGAAGTCATTTGATTAGCTAGTCTTTCATTAGAATTGTTAATTAAATCTGATATTCTATTCCATAAGTCTGTTATTGAGGTGTTTGTAATTTCTTTAGTATCAACTATGGATTTCAAACTTGATACATTTGACTTATGTGAAGTTGAGAGTAAATCTTGTATGTTGTCAATTTGTGAACTAATTTTATCTTTAGACATATTCTGTACTACTTTATTTTCAGGTAAGCTGAAGTCAGTTATTAGTAGACAGTGGACTTATAGGTCCTTAAAAGTGGCGTTTTAGGTGCTTAAAATAAGCTCTTAAATTGTGTCGTTTAGGCTTTATAAACAAAAAATAGGCAGTCAAAATTTGCACAATGAACAATTAATGTACTTATCAGGACAATGAATTTTTTTATTTAGATATGTATTCCAAAAAAGAAATGCACATATTCAGAATGATGCAAACACAAAAGTAGACAAACAATTATCTTTACATTTTTTATTTGCTCTGTTTCCCATAGTTAGCTTCATAATATATTACAAGCACTTTTTCCAAATTTTCAATAGAAAAGTTGCAACGTTTGTCACTGAGAATTAATTTATATGGAGAGAAAGAGCGTATAATCTGTTATCTTCAGTAGATATGGAACACATCTACTGAAGATAACAGACAATATTTCAACCTTGGAAGAAGATGAACTGGGAATTCACTTTTGCAACTTCTTTCTTGCCAAAATATCAGCCACAAATAAACAAGCACTTTAATCCAAGTCTCTTTTGAAGTACTGCTTTCAACTCTTTTTTTCACTTTTTTTTGCAGCAGTGCCTGGTGCATCACAAAGTTTCTGGTTTGTTCTGTTGAGGAGATCAATTTGTTCATATATATGTTTCCCACTACTTTCAAGAGCAGTAATAGTATCTGCAATGAATGTGAAATAACAAATGTGATGTACATCAACTTGTTCTGAACATAAATGTAATTCAAAATTTTCTTGGCTTTAGTTACACAAACTGTATCATCTGCTAAAGTGGCCAGAAGTTTTTTGATATCAAAGAACTGTTCACTGTAGTAGTTAGTACAAAATCTTAGTCATGTATATGCTAAGAAAAAAATAGGCATTTACCTAAAATCCGCTGTCTAAAAATGACAAATAAAGCATCTCTAACGCTATATTTATTAAATAAAACAATTTATTTTAAAATATTTCATATAGTTTTAATTTTATTACTATAAAATTGCATCAGGGGGTTAACTTATTTCTGTTATTATTGCATTCTAATTTTTTCTGCTTGGGATATGCATTCACTGGGACTTAAATATAAGTAATCAATAATAATAAAAAAATGAATTTGTCTGATTGCATTTTCAGGAAAAAATGAAACTTAAGCAGTTTAATTTAAGAATTAAAGTAAACCTTTGTAAAAAATGAAACGAAAAATTAATAAAAACTTTCTAAAAATATGAAAACAGACTAAACTTTGTGTTTTAGGCAAAAATAGGCAGCAACGTCAAAATAAGCATTTTTAGGCATTATAAAATACCATTGTTTCAGTCTAAATGTTCATGAAAAGTGTTCATATGAAATCTTAGCCATGTAAATGCCAAGGAAAAAAATAGGCATTTGCCTAAAATCCGCTTTCTAGTTATTCGTTTAGTGTTAGAGGTAAAATGCTTTTTCCCGTTACTTGACCCGACAGGGATCTTCCACGTTTTGTCTGAGGTCTTTGTAAGGGACCAGGATTAGAATCCACTCCAGAAATAAGCAAAAGTATTAAAATTAATTTAATATTATTGCATTTTCCTAATAAAAAAACATTTGAAAAACTTTAACTCAAAAACCACCTCCATATTGTTAAGGTCTGAGAGAAAATACACCAGCAGCCTCAGCAGTCACGATATGCCCCCTCATAAATATCAAATTAATACAATAAAATCACAATTAAAATTCAGTATTGCAAAACTAACCTTATTTTATATCAGAAACCCTTGCTGATGAAAGAATAGAAGGTGGAGATTCCATAGCATGTATAATCTGTTTAGTAAAATCCCAGAATTTTTAGTACTCTATTACCATGGTTCCCAATTAGTGGTATGCGTATTCCCAGGGATACGCGAAATTGCATGAAGGGGTACATGTGGCAATCTAAAATCGGTCGATTTAAAATTTAAATGCATGAGATGAAGCAATCAAAAAATAATGGGTGGACCATCAAAAATTTGGCAATTTAAAACATGATGTCGAATGCACAAATTCGCTTATTTATAACTTCGAAATTTCATCAAAAAAATGCATTTGTGACAATACCTAAATGAAATTCTTACGCAAGAAACAAAAATTGTATAATTATCATTATCTTCTTGTCAGCGAAGCGGCAATAAAATATTTACTACCATTTTGCACAACACACCTCTGCGAGAGCGGATTTTCGGCCATGACAAACATGAAAACTAAACATCGTGACCGACTTAAACTTGAAGATGACTTGAGACTGAAGCTGACCAAAAAGCAACCAGATTTTACAAAGTTGTGCAAAGAAAAACGTCCACATTTGTCACATTAAAATTAAATAATCTTATGTTATTTTCATTATTATTAGAATTATATTTTAAAGGTAATAAATGTAAAACAAACTTATTCTATTTGTCACTAGCTGTCTACCCACAGTTAAGCACGCATTATATTGAATTTTCTCATGGGAATAAGATATTTTATCGCAGTAAAATGTAGCCTATGTCCATTTCCAATGTGTAAGCTATCTCTGTGCCAAATTTTATTAAAACTTGTTCAGCGGTTTAGACATGAAAAGGTGATAGACAGTCAGAGAGACAGACAATTAGCTTCGAATTTATAATATTAGTATGGATTAATATGAATTTCTGCTATAAGGGGTATGTGAGTTTGAGCTCTTTCTTGAAGTGGTATGCAGAAAAAACTAATTGGGAACCACTGCTCTACTATATAGCAGTTTTTTCTTTGTCTCTCAACAAGCACGACATAATGAGGGGCTATTGTATACCTTCATTACTTGAGGAAAAGAAAGTAAATTAATAGAAACAATAAGTATGAAACAAAAAATATTGATAGCTATATTAAGAAAGTATAATTAATTTTTATTCAAATGTATTTTTTCTTTTAAGGTTTGTTATAAACATATTCTACAATCTTCAAAGTGTTTATTGTGTTTAGATGTTAATATATATAAACTGTAGAAAATAAAGAATTTGAAGTAAATTAATACAGGCAAATCTTATTTTAATTAAATTTGTGTGTGTAAAATATATATGAAAAAGTATTTCTGTTCATCATAAAAATTACTCTTCAGCATAAAATAATAATATACATTTCCTATTCTGTAAATGACTTGTTTTCTACCTGTTATAAAGTTATGATACTTGTTGATTTATATACTAAAGAAGTAAAAGTTAATAGAAAATTTGTTGGGAAAATCTAACAAATTTTCTGAAAAATTAGGGAATTTAAGAGGATTGAAGAAGTGAGTAAAAAAAGGTAACTTGGGATATAGCTTCAATGAGAGCATTAAAGTCCATTGAAGTTTCCATATTTTAAACTGAGAGTATTGCATGCTTGTACATGTTTCTCCTTATTTATTTTGAAGTAAAAATTATTTTGAGAAAAATTTAACAGAAAAGAGAAGCTCAAATTCTCTTTTATTCTTTGTTCTGACAAAGAATGAACTGATCTTTACACTTTTGTGCTTGCTCCTTTTTTCATTGATTCATATATAATACAATTATTTGTGAACACAAACCAATTAGCAATAGGTGGCAAAAANTATCTAGATAAGTTTTTTTACTTATTTTTATTTTAGACAAGAGAATTACATCGAATGCCTCATCCAGATGAAGAGAAATGGCGTCACGATTTTCTTATTTATGAAAAAATGGATTTAATAATGATGGAAGAGAAAACAAAATCAAATGCCTATAAACGATTAGAAGAATTTCAAGCTGATGCACAGTGTATTGTTCACAATGTTGTGATATTTTTTGGAGGTAGTTATTATGCTTCATTGGTAAAAAAAAATATTCCTTCGTAATTCAATGATATAAATTTTATAATTGAAAAAAAAAATGCCATTTCAAGAAGTCATAAAACTGATTTATTAAGTACACCCAATTCTGTTTTTACATGGTTTTTTTTGTTTTTTGGCGGTTGTGATTTTGATTTAAGATGATCTGGAAAAAAATCAATTTTCTTTTAATATTACAATTTTCATGATGACTCAGGATAATATTCTAAGGACTTCTTTTAATATTGTTTGTTTGATTTAACATGTTTCAATAAATGTCTTTTTAAAAAACTTGATTTGATTTTAATTCTAAGGAAAAATATTCATACTTTCTTTTGTAGAAAATTGTTTTTTCCAAAACAGAAATTTGGAATTTGGATTTAAGGCTATTGTAATGCTTAAGAAACTTCTCACCCTGTAGTCACAATAAGGCCTTTTAATCCTATTCATAATGGTATGATATCTCAGGCCCACAGTGGGAGTGACTAGGTAGTGAAGGACTGGGTCAAACATACCTGGGACAGACTATCTCTGAAAAATTCCAATACAGTCGACCCCCCTATAATTACGGTCCCTATAATTACGATTCCTATAAAACTATGAAAAAATTGTGACCGGTATCTGTAAAAAACAGTAAAAACCCTCTATAATTACCTCAAACGTCATCGGTCAGCCGAACTACTTTCCCGCCGTCCGTAGCGCCAACTACGGAGAGATTTCTATTGTCTGGACAGTATTATATAAATTATATATAAATTAGGTACTGTACATATAATTATATATTAATTATATATAAATTAGGTACTGTATATATAATTATATATTAACTTATTGTAACTTTGTTATAATTAAATATATAATTTCCGCCGTCTAGCGTGGCGCCACGCTACGGAGATTTTTACGCTAACTATCGTCTGTCAGTATGTAAATTAGGTACCGTAAGTCTAATACAGTACTGTAATTTTATACATTTCTTGTGAAAGAAACATTTCTTATTCAACGGCGATTAAAATTATTTATATTAATGATGTCTCCGAAGTTCTACGAAGTTTTCACAGAAAAATAAGTTGTTAGAAATCGGCCGCTCTTTGCTGAGCTGTTCCGCGACGAAAACAATGTTGAGCAATGGCAATGTCGAATGGTGACACTCGGTAAGTAATCCTACAATTTTTTGTTTATAGCGTAGTTTATACGGATTATTCCCAAAAAAAACATACGTATTTTGGAAATGTTGAGTCAGATTAGTCTAGAATCGATTAATTTTATGGAAGAAAATCTTTCAAACAGCCGTAGTCCGTAAACTTGATACGTGTCGGGTTGTGATTGGAAGGATTCGTAAGAAATCGGATTCCTAAAGAATGGAACGTATCTATATCTTATAGGGGGGTCGACTGTAGTTTTTTGTTACCTGGATTTGATCCTTGTTCCCCGAGTGATAGACTGACACCTTAACTGCCTTGGCTTCTGTTTGTCAGTTATTATTTGGCTGTCTTTTAATAACTTATTTGAATGAGTGTAGTGACAATAAGCCTTTCATTCTGACTTTACTCCATGATTGCAGCAGTCAAAAAAAATTTAATTCAGGATTTGATGATTTTGCTTGTATGATTGCATTTCTTCCATTTTTTTAAAATACAGAATACTTTTTTATATGTTGTGTGATGCTAAAAGCTAGGGGTATTTTGATGTTTAGTTGAAAAAATAAAATAAAATAAAATTAGAATTAAAACTGTGAAAATAATATAAATGTATTAAATTTTGCTGATAAGTAAGTTACAATCGTCTCTCTTCTCTGATCAATTAATTAAAATTGAAATATTTTGTTTACACACATTTCGATAATGTGTAAACCAATTGGTTTAAAAACCAGTAATATGATAAATCAATTAATAAATTAACTGGTTTATCATATTATTTTTACTGATTTTTAATATCTGTAACCAATCTTCTGTTTTTCCATGTGGACAGTATATTTTTTATGTAAGAAATTCTTGGGAATTTATCTACTGTGTAAAAACAGAATTGGGTATATTTGAGTTTTGCATTTCTCTACAAAATATTTAATAGATGTATAGTAAGTTATTTAATTTTATGTATGTACTAATATTTAAAATTTAAATTTATGAATTTTAATGTGTTGTAAAAATGTGCATTATATAAAATAGCAAATTTTAATTATTCTAAAATTCATATGTAAGTTATTTTTAATATCACCTGCCTGTTTAATTTTATATTTTATTTTGTGAATTGTATTTAAATTTATTTGGTATGCCATTGTTGCCATTTATTCTTTTAGAAACAATTTTGGACTAATTTAGTCCAAAATCATTTCTTAAAAAAAAAATATATAGTCAAATTTCTTAATACAAAGTTGAAGTGTCTTAAAAATTGGCATGTCTTATTAATGAGGTTTGTATTAAGTGAACTTTATACAGTGGAACCTTGCTTAATTAAATTAAATTAATGACCATAATTTGTTTCAGAATCTTACTTGTAATGCGAAACACTTGTTAAGTGAAACAATTCTTCTCATATAAATTAATGTAAAATATGATAATGTGTTCCATGCCAGAAAAAAAATACTCAAATATTTTATGTATAACATTTATTTTAAAAAAATTATAAAATATACATTGTTAAGGAGCATGAATCATCATTATTTTTTCTTCTAACGTGAAATGAACCAACCTGGAATGCGAATTTGATTTGCAGAGAACAAAAAAACTCAAAATAATATGTCTGATAAACACACTAAATGATATGCCAAACTCTTGGGCTATGTAAAGGTTATAATTAAATATTAGAAATTAAATAATTTGACTAGAGGTAGTGTGAGGACCCAACTGATGTTCGAAATCATGTAAATCACGGTATTCTTATGATTAAATAATAACAATAGATTATATATGAGAGGGAGAGGAAAATCTCATAACTTAAACTACGCGGCACAAAATGTAGACAATGAGTCTCGGATGACTCCAACACGTGTTAAACGAACTGTCAATGTCAGAGTGAAAAGTTATAAGTCAGAGATAAGTGGTCATATGCAAGTAGAACTTTGACCCCAGCGCTCATAAACAGTCAATCTAGGGAAACAATTTCGGAAAAGAGGGAAAGATTTTAGAGAAATAAATCATTGCATATGATCGTTCGAGTACTCAGATGACAGAAATCGCAAGTTGCAGAGCTAAATTATGAGTGCGAATCTTGCAATTTTGTCAACAATCCCCAAGGACAATCGACAGAAAGGCGTCGAGCAGACACCTGGAATCAGACCTTTCCTGTGACCCGAGTCGGTCTCGGTTTTCCCCAAAACAAAAGCGAGACCAATTGGGAAGTGAGGAAGGGGACGAGGGGCCAATCAGAAGTCTGAATAGTGGGAGAAAAAAACTATAAAAATTGGAAAATCAAGGTCAAAAAGGCTCTCTTCCGACTCCCTGAAACATCGCAACTGATATTGTGGTGTGTTGTCGGCACGAACTTTGGACTCCGCCGCTTCCAACTTCATCTCATCTGCCTTGATCAGCGACATCATCTCATCCGTCCCGCGACCAGACGTAGACCTTCTCGCCTCTCTGCATCTCCGACTAGAACTAGTGAAGGACTGTCGATTGTCGATGTAAGCATAAATGTTAACAAATAAACGGCTTTCTTGTGTAAAACACTTGTCATCATTTGCCTCCTCCATCACAGCCCACATACAACCTTCCCTTAGGTTCATCCTGACGCGGGATTAATAGCTCCCACCTAGGAGACGGCAACCTTACACAGGTGCCGTGAAGTTGGTTTCAAGCCCCCTATATCCACTGGGTCGGCCATCTTACAGTAGGCAGTTATGCTGTCATCTTGTACTAAATTTAATGACTAATTCCAGTTAATTGTCTAAATTAAATGTCTAAATTAAAAATTAATTATTTATAATTATTAAATTTAATACGAGATGGCAGCATAACTGCCTACCTCTAGTCAAATTATTTAATTTCTAATATTTAATTATAACCTTTACATAGCCCAAGAGTTTGGCATATCATTTGTGTGTTTATTATATAATGGGCTATGGTTGTTAATGTTTATATGTAATATAAACATTAACAACCATATGATCATACATGTAATATGTATGATCACAAGCGACACTAAGATGCTAGCGGAACGAGTGCTAAACACAGACTGTTGTAGCATGCACACAATTTGGGACTTCTCCTCTCCTCATCACTCATTATGTGAAATGTCGCTCATTAAGCGAATAATTTTTTTTAGTGATGTGCTGGATATCCATATCTGCGGATATCTGAGGAAAAAAAAAGATCCGTATCTGTTACTTTTTAGTGGATCTTTAACAGATCTTTTATTTTAATGAATTTCATTACTTATATGAAATTTTAAAGATAGGTAGCAATAAAATACTAATAACTTCAATTCAAATCACTTTTTATTTCTTAAAATCACATATTTGGCATATTCATATTGCAAAAATTTTATCATGCAAAATTCATTTACTATTGTAAAATATTTCCATATTACACTACTAAACTTTTTTGTTGACATTGTTTTTATTTTAATTTAACTAATTTTAATTATTCAGATTCTTGAGCTAGTACATTTGGTATGCTATAGCTCTATTTTCCAATTTAATGGGAAAACGTACTTGCAAGGGAAAGCATTCCCGATGGGTAGCCCGGTATCGGGTGATTTGTGCGAAATGGTAATCAGAAGATTGGAAAACAACGTCCTACCACGTTTTTTGCACAATATCTTGTTATATAAAAGATATATTGATGACATCATTATATTTTGGAAGGTGGAACCAGACATAAAACTCTTCCTAGAAGACATGAATAAGAATCCATATGGGCTATCATTAGAAGTAGAACAGCATGACTCTTCGAGGGTGCATTTCTTGGACATTGATATCAAATTCGGGGGAGCTAACATACATACATCTGTATACCGAAAACCTAGCACCTTCCCAACATATATTCC